TTATAAACTCACATTTTTTCTGAAGAAATAAACCAAAAGTAGAAGTTCCAAAATCATGGGTTGATTTTTTTTAGCTTATTTTTTCCAAATTTTTTTATTTATCATTTTACCTCATCATAACTTTATCTCTCTCCTCCTTTTTACTCTTCTACCAAACACCATAACTATTCACATTATCACCACCAAACTCCATAAGTCTCATTTTCCTCTCTCTATCACCACTTAACCACGTAATTCCCCATAATACATTATTTTATTTATACACGAATAAAGAATTATGTAAAACTTTGTTATATAATATTAAAATTTTGTGAATTATGTATAAACTCAATAACCCTAAAACATTTGTATAAAACTTAACATTTATGTATTATTTATTTTGTGAATTATGTAATTTAAGTTTAGTAAAGTCAATTTATTTATGTGCTATATTGTATTTAATATTGATATTCGTTTTTATATTGTATTTTATTTTAATATTTTTTTAGCATTTGTTATTATGCAATATTAAAAAACATGGGTTGCGTTACTTTTTTAGTTTATGTTTAACTATGTATATGTATGAGGTTATTTGTTTATGTTGATCTTAGGTTGTTTTTTAATATTAATATTATTTTTTATATTGTATTTTATTTTAATATATGTTTTTAGCCTTTGTTATGCAATATTACAAACTTAAAATAAAAATATATGATGATAAATATTAAAAAATATATATTTAAAAAATAGTGTAAAACAACCAAAATAATCATAACATAAACAAATAACCTCATACAATTTTCTGTAATTTACTATGTAAAAAACAACATTTTTACCTTACCCAAACAAAACAAATTAGTTTGAGTAAATTACACTCACACCCCTGAGTTTTAATGAAATTACACAAACCACCCTTCTATTCTTTGTCCTTACACCAACCACTCATGCCTCATACACAAACTACCCCTAGATTTATACATACATTACACTAACTACCCCTGTATGTTATAAAAGTGTAATATTTTAAAGAAAAAATGTGTGATGAATGTAATTAAGTTAAACAAAATATTGTATATTGTGTAACACTTCAAATAGTACAAAAGCAAGTGTTTCTTTATTATTTTTGTGTCATTAAAAAATACATAATAAATTTCAAACAAATATTTAAATAACTCTTATACTATTTTATAACGAGCCAAATAATGAAGACGCATTGGTTCTTATATTATTTGAATTTGTCTACACAATATACAATATTTTGTTTAATTAATTACACACATTATACGTTTTTTATTTAAAATATTACACTTTTATATCATGCAATGGTAGTTAGTGTAACATATGTACAAAATTAGGGGTGATTCGTGTAATGACAAAAAAGTGAGGGGTGGTTTGTGTAATTTCACTAAAACTCAGGGGGTGTGAGTGTAATTTACTCAATTAGTTTATATTCAATTTTCACCTAAGGTACCCAAACATAAACAGATCGTAATCTTAACAGTTTATAATCTCACACTTTATAACCTGAAAATAAAAACTTAATTCATATCAAGTACACGCTAAATATACCAAAAGGGATTTATATAAATAATATTCTTCTACATCTCTTTGAAATTGTGTTTTTGTCACATAGTATATAGGAGGTGACTTTGGAGCATGCTTTGTGGAGCCTAATTCTTTGTGTAATGGTTAGCTTTTAGATGATATTATTTTCAAGTTTTAGGGGTAATTAAAATTTTAATAATCAAATATTTTTCTAACCAATCACATCAATCAATATATGAAGTGATACAATTTATAGAATAGAATATGTCTTTCAGTTAATCACTCTCTAACTAAATTGTGGACTATATGTAGATTATTTAATAAGTATTAGTTCATTTTAGTGGGGGGAAATTGGGGAAAGTGAAATCCGAGGTATGATTGTGCCAATAACTAAACAGGCAACACATATAAAACCTACATTTCCAGTGATCACTTTCTGTTCCACCCATAAATTTATAAATATTTTTCTTCTTTTCTGTTGTATCTGTTTTGTGCACCTGCATCGATCCCACTAGGGGTAATTAAAATATTGATAGGTTTTTGTTTTATTTTCCCCTAACAAATTAATATCATGCACGTTGCGGTCCAAGTCTAATGAAGTTAATAATCAAGAAGATAACTAATTCGCTGCACTTGAAAAATAAACTTATCTAATTTAAGTGTTCATTTTATGAAATTCTGAAATCTGAATAAGCTTATTAAAATGAAACTGCTCTAATGTCTGTCTGGTTGAACAAATATTAATATATGCAGATATAGTGATATAACTTAAATGAAAGAATAAATCGTTTAATAAATATTGGGTAAGAGTTCGATTCTTAAGAGTGAGACTTATAAATCTAATTTTTAATACATATATAATAGTATTACTTTTGCTCATAAAAAAATTTAGGAGGAGAAATGAAAGTACTTCTATAGGAGGATAGGTCATGTATCATTCAAGTTATTAGATTAATGTTTGGAATAAAATATAAATTGGTTCATAACTTTGCATATTGTAATCAATTTGGACATTAACACAAAATATATATAAAAATCTCAAAAGGAACAATTAAAGACCAAATATACACGTTTTGCAAAAGCTATATACGTACTGACCTAATGCTTAATGCTTATAACATGCTTATGATTTCTTTAGAAAAATTGCAGCATTTATAACAATAACTACATAGGTGCATGGTGCAATTTAAACTATGATATATGTTAAACAAAGAGCTTAGGGAATCAACTTAGAATCTTTACTCCACGTGCACTTCACAGTCATATTTGATTAAGAAGACAACTTGTTATTGAAACCATCAAGAAAGTTGAGTCCTCCATCTCAGCTAAATCAGTGTTCATCATCCTTTCACTTTTCATTTTAATTTCTACCCTTTTTGTGCAGCAAAAAAGTTTCTTTGTTTTATGAAATGACCCAACCTAATTAATTAAGTTACCTATCATTTTTCATGTTCTTATATTCTCTATGTATATATTCTTATGAAAAATGTTTTGTACTTATACTATATATATAATATAATATATAAAAATTGACACATAAATTCATATATGTATTTTGAATTACTTAACAAGTGTTTTAGGGTTTTTTTTAACATTTTTCATTTTGAAATATATACACAAATAACATATAAAGATAAATAAGAAACAAAGTTAGGCATTCTTTGACTAATATATTGAACATTGCAAGGGTTTATGCGTGACTTTGGACTAAAAATCTTTTGGGATTGAATCTTATTAATTATTCTGATTGGTTATCCAAACCTTTAGTTTGTTTGAACATTCTCTTGTAATTATTCTTTTTTTTTTCTTTTTTTTGTAATTTCTTTTCTTCAATAAAATATTTGTTTGCTGATAAAAAAAAACAAAGTTAATATATACAATCTTAAATATGATTTGCAAATTCCAAGTGGGGCATTTGAAAAAAAAATCATTTAATCAATTAAGATCACTGTAATAAGACTTTGGTAAATTGATAATCTTGTGACTTACGTTGATGACATGTTAATGATTCGAATATAATTACATTTAACATGACACAAGGCCACAAGCTAAGGGAATATATTTGTAGATGATGATAAAATATAGGATAAAGAAAGTCATAAAGAGGGATTGAAAAAGAAAGATTTTCAAAAGACAGCAGAAAGACATCCCTTTTATAAAGAAAGAAAAGATAGCAATAAAATAGAATATATTCTATAGAATAATTTGTCACACTATACTAAATGCTTTAACTTAACCAACTAGGATGTGTTCGTTTACATATCTTAGATCCCATTGGACCCTTTTGTATTTAGATCAAAAGATAAATGTTCGATTTATAGAAGCGACACTTATTGAAAAATGGCAGAAATACACCTAAAATTAATGATTTAGTTCATTAATCATACAGTGAGATAATACTTTTAATTATAAAAAAAATCTTTAACTTACTATCCTTCTCCACCCATCCATGTCTTCCACTCAAAGGAACATATATTAGTGAAAAGAAGAAGAAAATTAAAAAATATGAAAAATAATAATTGGTAAAGCTGAGAAGGTGGCGTCCACACTGTTCAGGCAAAAATATACTTTTATAAACTCTTAATTTATTTATTTTCTCATTTTCTGGCTTCATTTTTTTTATCTGATTTCAATTCATTAACCTTATTTTGGTTATTAAGCTAGTATCTCTATTTAAAATTTTGCTCCATCAAAATAAGTGTGCTAAGTGGCCAATAATGGATTTTACCTTAAGTTTAATAACTAATACTTTATGCTCCAACTGGATTGCTAACTCTATAGCTTATTTAAACATTGTAATGTAATTTTTTTTTCCTTTCCATTGTAAATTCCCATTTTAATTAATAAAAATTTCTTTGGCTGATAAAAAAAATGGTGTAGATTTATAGACTTTATAAATCATGCAAGGAAATTAAATCTATACCACAAACAAAAACAATTTAGAAAATTAATAGACCATACAGCAATTGATTTATTATGTTTCTGAAGTTTAAGGATATATTTCTTTGGTCTATGCAGATATCAAATGAAGAAGATATATCATATAAAGGTGCACATGCTCACTATTTTTACGTACCTTAAAATTATACAAATCTAAGGCCATAGCTATGAAACCCTAAAAGGAAAGCTGAACCTATAATTAGAGACAAAAGATCTTGAAACCTATCATGTGAAATTCAGATCCAATAATGAGCAACAGCAATAGAATAATAAGACACTGAAACTGAAACAACCATGATAGCTACACAGAACTAAAAATGTAAATCTATACCTTAAAAGAAAAAAGTGATGGAAATGCATGGGGATATATTACAAATGAATAAATAGTATGGTATATATGTATAATATATATAGCTGAAAACTGGAAATAAAATAATAGTAATAATAATTATTATTATTACTATGATAGCTTACCTTGAGATATAAGATGCATATGATCCTATTTCTCTTTAGATATATCATGTATTGAAACTGTAATTGAGAGGAATGAAGCCTGGTCCGAGGAAACACTAAGTCATAACATAAAATCGATTATTCAATCGGCGAATATTATATATATATATCATATGTTGTAAAGATAATGTTATCTCCTTGAACCAGACAACATTCCCCACAAGATTAAAGCTTCCTGATCTTTGCTCAAAGGTGATTGATCTAACCTGAGATTCTGTGTGTGAAACAGTATATGATTGTTTTTGATTGTGTTTATTCAATCATTCTGATCTCCAAGAAGACAATATCTTCCTTGAATGAAAGAAATGAAAATTGGTGTTTGAAGTATAGGAAGGTAATGTCATAATGAAGATAATCATTTGGTTTTAATAGAAAGTAAAAGCATGGGAGAGAGAGGATATCAAGAAAGATTCTTACGTGATTTTCTATGAAGAAAAGGTTTCTGCTATTTATTATTGGGAAAATTGCTTTAAAACTATCCTAAACTTTTTTAGTGATTACTTTTTAATTACTCACAAGTTTTATTTGTTGTTGAAATTCATTCATGCATAATAAAATATTAAAATACTAAAATACCAATAAGAAAATAGTTATTATGGGATTCACAATAATAACAACTAACAACACAAGAATAGATGACCGAAGAAACATCAATCAAAATACAAAATTGATCTGAAAAATATGATTATATATGATTGAAATTTAAAGTTTATTACAACACCCTTATCACAACAGTAACACAAAGAAAAATAAAATAAAATATATCCTTATATTAGGAAATAAGTTATTTTCCCTATTCACTATAATTATAATATTTCTACTAATGTTTTAGTTTTTAGAAGAAACAAATTGTAGAAAATTGTTAAATAGAACACATATCATGATTTTTTGGGCGAATAAGATAATTTATCTTCTAATATGATGATATAATTTATCTTCTGATATGATGAAATATTTTGTTTTCAAAGAAAAAATAATATAACATTATCTTTCTACATAGATCAATTTTCTTGACGATTAAAAAGTTTAAGGGATAATAGTAAAAATAATAATTGAAGATGGATGATTGCTTGCATAAGACATAAATTTTGGGGATTTTAAAGTAATGTATTTTTCCTCACTAAGCATTTTTCAAACCACAACTAAAGAAAACCTCTTTCCAAATATAAATATTATTGAATTGGACTTTACCTTTACAAACAAAATCTTTTTCATATATATTACAATAATTATATTCCTGGTAGACCAAACTATTATATTTGTAATTATTAAAATTAGTATTATTTGTATAATGAAACTATTACCTTTATTGGTAGAGTAATTATTAAAATTAATGTTATTTGAATATTAAGACCTGAGATGTGACACTTAAGCACTCTTTCTTCATAAGCCTCTATACATTTTCCAAAAATATATAGTACTAGTGCATCATTTTTTTTTGATAAAAAGATAGATGCAATGATAATATTAGAGTTTTGTACTTTATTAATGTATTATTCATCAATTATTTTTAATCATCATGAACTCTTAAATAAATAATACAATGAATGATAAATAATATGTTGATTATGTATAAATTTTTATACTGTTACTACATACTTTATTTTTATTTATAATTTGTGCAAGAGGAGAATTTGTAGAAGTTCTTAATCAAAATTCATTACTCAAATATAATATAAAGGGATTCATAATTAATTAATATATTTCCTTAAAAATAAAAAGTACAAAAAATAATCCAATTTTCATGTCACAAATAACAAGATGTTAGTATAATAATATAAGGATTCACTAGATTTATAAGATGGCCTAAAGAATAAGAGTTCAATTCTCGTGAGTAACACTTATTACGAGGTGTAGCCACACACCCAAAAAAATTATTTCCATAGAAACATGTGACATAATACTTTTAATAGTATCAAAAAAAAATTATTGTGTCACAATATAATAATTTCATGAGAAAAACTCTTTGGTGTAAGATTCATTAATACTCATTTTGTAAATGCAACCATTAGAATCATTTTTGAGTTGGGGAAATTGGTCCAAGTATTAATATCTTTTTAAATTACATAAGAAAATTGCTCCCATTAAAATCACAATAGTAGCAATGCAATAATGCATATTATCTAGTGTTGATATCAGGAGGAAATTGGTATCAAAATACAATCTTGATCGAGAAGAAAAAAATAAATAAATTTTAGAGTTAAAAGTGATTAATACATAAATATTTTTAGGATACTTTTATAGACTTCTCCCTTAAATATATTATTAAATAACTTTTTCATTTTTATTAAATAGTCATGTTTATTATTAAACAACTCTTTGGTTTAAGATTCTACATTCTAGAAATATAGCATGTTGAATTTCCAAAACTAATCACCAAACATTAGTTTAACACTGATTTTTTTCCCACAGATCAACATCCTATTCATTATTAAATATTTTATTTTGAGAATTAAAGTAGTGATCCCGTTTATGATTAAAAAATATTATTAAATAATATGTTTTGAATTCATTATTAAATAATAATATTTAATAATAAATAAACTACCCTAAAAATCAACCACTCTAGTGATTTTATTGTAAGAACCATTACAACAAATTAGTTCTAGATTGTCCAAGAATCTGCTTGAAGTTTTAAATAAGATTTTCATGCTAAAAGCAATATATTATATATATATATATATTATATAATATATAATTATATATATATATATATATTATATAATATATAATTATATATTCCCCCACACCCCACTTGGCAAAACATCTACATTGAATCACCATTGTTTTAGAAAAGGGCGAAAAGCCATATAACAAAGAATATATGCTACGACCTTCCATAGAAAAAAATATTTGCTAGCTAGTGGCTCATGGGATCCACTAATATTGTAATTAAAATAATTGTAATATGTACTTATTATTTTGTTACCTAATTTTTTTAAATAACTTTTCACTGTATTTTCATTATTCACATATAATCATTATACTTAACTACTACCAATCAAAAGTAATACGGTAAAAGAAAATAAAGGGTCATTAAAAATAAATTTTTGAAGAGTTAATAATAATTAAATATAAATAATGAATAAGGTTGATAGAACTTGTATATTGTTGATGGATACATTTTTTTCTCTTCTCTATAACTCTAAAGGAACCTTAATATCCACTTTCTTATTTTTATAAATTCAAATTTGTATGAATTTAATCTATACAAGTTCATTTTGAATTTAAACTAGTCAGAATTAAAACTTCTTAAGAATTAGTCATAAAAATATTTAAATTAATTAATTTAACTCACCTAACATTTAAGATCTTTCAGACCATTTTGAATTTTCTAATATTACATGAAATATGATAGAACAAAATAGTTTGGTGAAAAATATAAATTTTTCTATATCAGTGCAATACATTCAGGGTATGACATTTAAGGTGGGTCTCCTCCTATATCTAGAATACATTAGAAAGACCTTAACATTCAGACAGTTTGGCCGAGTGGTCTAAGGCGCCAGATTTAGGCTCTGGTCCGAAAGGGCGTGGGTTCAAATCCCACAGCTGTCATTTATTTTTATTTTTATTTATATTTTCTAATAAAGAAAAGTGAAATCCATAACTAACGATAAACGAGGATTGAATGGTTATCACTTATCACATACTACAACAACACATCAAAAAAAACAAAACTGTCTTACTAACTAATCTTTACTTTTCATCATTCATAACAATGGCACTCTCATCTTACTGCACTCTTCTCCCTTCAAATATTAACCCTTTTTCATTACCTTCTTCTCTATTCAATTTCTCTCCTTTTTTCCCTTCTCAAAAGGTGCTGGCCCCCACTTTTCCTTTCAATCTCTCTCCCTTTGTGTTATGGATTACTCAGTAGTGTGAGCTTCAATGGTTATTTTCGCAGGTAAAGATGGGACCTTTAACTGTATCCCCAATGGGGTTTGGAACATGGGCATGGGGGAATCAACTTCTTTGGGGGTACCAAGAATCTATGGATATTGAGCTTCAACAAGTTTTCAACTTGGCTTTGGATAATGGTGTCAATCTCTTTGACACTGCTGATTCTTATGGAACAGGAAGGCTTAATGGCCAAAGTGAGAAGCTTTTAGGAAAGTTCATTACAGAATTTCAAGGTTCATTAACCCTTTCTCATTTCTATTTATATCTTATTATCTGCTACTAGGTGTTGTAGATTGTGGTACAGGTGTAAGCATAATTCATTATATTATGTGACAGACACTTTTTTTTGGCACGACATCCCCTCATTGGGTAAGGAACTAACTCATTTTGGTGTGTGTGGTTGACTCTCCCAATAGTGTCAGGAATCAAACCCTTTGTCTTTTTGTGATCTAGGAGGGCCTTAGTTTGGTTTAATTATATTCACCAGCCTTGTTTTAAAAGTTAGGCTCAAAAGGAGGTTTTTAATCATCACAATTTAGGAGATGTAAGAGTGCGTTTGGGTAAGTACTTAATAAAGTGCTTATTAAATAAGTAATTTTTAATAAGAAAATCAAAGCTTGTTTTCATAAGCATCATCATAATTTAAGAGATGTTAGAGTGTGTTTGGGTAAATGCGTAATGAAATGCTTATTAAGTAAGTATTTTTTAATAAGATAATCAAAGCTTGTTTTCATAAGCTTCATAGGTAAGTTTGTTGAAGCAAGCTAAAGTAGCATATAAAAAGGCTATATACCATTTTCATAAGCCATTATCAAAATACCAAATAAGCTCTCTAATCTCTTCCAAGTGCACCCCTTATTGTTTTTTTGTGAGCTGGGTTATGGAGGGAAAAGAAAGGGAAGGGTTGAGAGCAATGAAATACACTTGGGAGCTTCGAAGTCTTCCTTTACTTCCCATCTCAAACCCAACTCACATACGGACCCTAGTGTAATGCTAACTTAAACCTCATAGGAGACTAGCGCAACTTCGAAATAGGAAAGGAGTGTCGTGTGTAATTAAGCCAAACATCATGAGGGTAAATACAATATCCTCTTAATTAGTCATAAAAATAGTTTGTTTGCTGTCTTGTGTTATTTGGCAAACAAGGCATCTCCCCAAGCTAGCATAAGACCTTATTCATTGATACCTTAATGTGAAAACAATATCATTTATTTTGTAATGAATTCTAATTCTTAGCTTCCCACATGCTCACCAAATT